GTAACAGGTGAGGGAGCTGTGGCCCAGGCTGGTCAGAAAAGGGCACACGTTGGTGTGAACAGGAAAGATCTTGAGATGAAAAATACAAGGCTCAACAAGGACCACCACAACTGTATGCATATCAGTAAGAGAGTGCTGATGGGACATAAGCATGGGAGAGGCTCTTCAGAGTCTTCCTGGGAAACAAGCACAACTGATTGCCCATCTGAAGTTGCTGTTCACATACATACAGCACGCCCCTGTGGAGAATGACAGGAGGAATTAGAGATCTGTCTGCAGTTGCAGGGCTTAATCAAGATCACAGAGATAAGGTGGGTAACTCACATGACTGGAGTGCTGTCATGCATGGATTCAGGCTCTTTAGGAAGGACACGCTGAGATGGCAATAAGTCACCCTTCATGTGAAAGAGTAGTATAAATGGATGGAGCTCTTCCTTGGGCTGGGCAATGAGACAAGAGTTTAAACCTGACCTGTGGATCAGGTGTGGGCAGACTAATCCAGATGACATAGTGTCTGCCCAGTAATCGTTTCTGCTAAGGAAGAAGAATTAAGTCCTCCTAAGAAAACTGGAAGATTGATGTTTGCAGACCATTGTCCTCATGAGGCACTTGAATTACTCCAGTATATGCTGAAGGGACAACACATCAGGGCACAAGCAATGCAGGAGGTTTCTGGAGTGCTTTGATAATAACTTCTTGGCACATGTAATGAACAGACTGATGAGAGGAGACATGATGCTGGACCTCATAGTTACAAACAAGGAAGAACTGATACAGATGTAAAGGTCTGGGTCAGTCTTGTCTGCAGCAACCTTAAGGTGCTACAAGATCAGGATCATGAGAGGAAGATAAAAAGCAGGATCACAACCCTGGATTTCAGGAGAGCACATTTAAGTATTTGCAAGGATCTACTTGGAAGAATGGGCCTGGAAAGAAAAAGGATCCATGAAAGCTGGTTGATTTCCAAGGATCGACTCCTCCAAGATCAACGAAGGTCCATTCTAATGAGCAAGAAGTGCAGCCAACATAGCAGGAGGCTAGCATGGATGAACAAGGACCTCCTCTGACTAAACTCAAATATAAAAGGAAGGATACAAGATGTAGAAGCAGGGACAGGAGACAAGTTGGAATTTAGAGACGTTGTCCAAGCATGCAGGGATAAGGTTAGCAAAGCCAAAATCTATGTGGAGTTGAACATGGTAAGGGACAAGAAGGGTAAGAAGAGGCTTTTTTACGTATAAGAGCAGCAAGAGAAATGATAAAGCGGGCTCACTGCTGAAAACAATAGTTTTCTGGTAGCCAAGAACATAAAAAAATCCAAAGCACTCAATGCCTTCTTCAACTCAGTCTTTAAAGGTAAAACCTCCAGCAATCCCAGGTCCCTGTGTCTCGGTCTCAGTGGAAGAATACCAGACCAGGGAACATTAAACAAACTGGACATACTCCTGTCCCTTGGACCTTATGTGATGTACTTGTGAGTGCTGGGAGTGGCTTAATAATCTTTGAAAGGTCATGGCTATCAAGGAAGGTTCCTGAGGACTGGAAGAAAGCACGTCACTCCTATGCTCAAGAAGGATCTGGGTAACTAGAGCAGTCAGCCTAACCTCAATCCATGGGAAGGTGATGGACCATACAAAGGACAAGAAGATCATTGATAGTAGTCATCATGAATTTACAAAAGGGAAATGATGCTTAACCAACCTGACAGCCTTCTCTGATGAAATGTCTAGCTCAGTGGATGACGGGAGAGCAGTGGATGTAGTTTATCTTGACTGTAGTAAGGCTTTTGACATGGTCTCCCATAAAATGCTCATAGCCAGATCGATGAGATGGACAAGATAAGCGGACAGTAAAGGTGAACTTGAACCTGGCTGAACTACTGGGTCTAAAGAGCAGTGATCAGCAGCACAAAATCCATTTGAAGGCCAGGTACTAATGGAGCATCCTAGGGGCTAACATTGGTGTCAAGACTTTTTAACATCTTCTTTAATTACCTGGACAACAGGCCAGAGTGGACCACAGCAAGTTTGCTGGTGACAAAACTGGATGCAGTGGTTGTTTCTCCAGATGTTTGTGTTGCCATCCAGAGGAACTTCAACCTGCTGGACAAATGTGTTGACCAGAACCTCGTGAAGTTCAACAAAGCAAGTGTAAGTTACCGTTTCCTGGATTAATAACCCCATGTACTAGCACAGCCTGGGGGCTCACCAGCTGAAAAGAAGTTTGTCAGAAACTCCCCTGGGGATCCTGGTGGACACCAGGTTGACCATAAGCCAGTAATGTGGCCTTGTGGCAAAGGCCAACAACATCCTGAGCTGCCCTGAAGAGGGCTGCCAGCAGGGACAGGGAGGTGATTCTTCTCATCTGTTCAGAAATGGAAAGACACACCTCAGTGCTGTGTCCAGTGCTGGGCTCCCCAGTACAGGAGAGACATGGACATACTCGAGTAAGCCCTGTGAAAGACCACAGATATGATGATAGGATTGGAGTACCTGCCAAATAGATCAAGGATGGGAAAACTATGACTGCTCAGCCTGAAAAAGGGAAAGCTCAGGGAGATATTATCAATATGTACATATACATGACAGGAGTGTATAAAAAAGATGC